AATGCGAGAACTGTGGTAAAGAGTACAGTAGAGCCAATGCAGCTCGGCATCGCAAGTATTGTGTGCGAGGAGTCATTTCTTGTCCGGAATGTAGTTATTGTACTTAAAACCAGCAAGAAATGAAATTCCATACGAGCAAGAAGCACGTAAAGTCCATCCCGAAGTCAACAAAGTGTGTATCGTGTGAGAATTTTCAAGCTATTATTCACTTCAACAACATCGTAAGAAAGCGAGGAAAAAGAGTGATTCTGTTGCTGATTTGGATAAAATCTCGGAAAACGAGGAGGATAATGATCAGCTACGAGATAATTTGAATGCATGTCAATACTTTTTGACAGATACTTCTTTTTAAATCTCCCAATTTTGTAGGTACCAGATACTTTTTTTATTTTTGGTAGAATTCAAATCTACCACTTTTTTTCAGATGCCAGCACTCAGCAGGAATGAGAAAATGAAATGCGAGAATTGTGGTAAAGAGTAAAAAAGAGCCAATGCAGCTCGGCATCGCCAGAATTGTGTGCGTGGAATCATTTCTTGTCCGGAATGTAGTTATTGTAGTTAGAAACAGCAAGAAATTAATTTCCATACGAGCAAGAAGCACATAAAGTCAACCCCGAAGTCAACAAAGTGTGTATTGTGTGAGACTTTCCAAGCTATTATTCACTTCAAAAACATCGCAAGAAAAATCACGGGTTGAAAGCGAGGAAAGAGAGTGATACTGTTGCTGATTTGATTAAAATCTTGGAAAACGAGGAGGATAATGATCAGCTACGAGATGAGTTGAATGCATGTCAATACTTCTTGACAGATACCGAGATGGAAAATGGACGCAGCAAAATATTCAATTTTTTCAACTTTAAAAACTAGGTCCTAATCTAGTTAATGAAAAACTAGATCAAGTCTTTTAAAAACTTGTTTGTACAGAAAAAATTATCATTGCCTTGGGATTTGTGTTACGTAATATAGAAACGGGCAAATATCATTATTTCTACGCTCATGAAAATAACACACTCTTTGATAAATCTTTACTGCTTTGTACTCAAGCAGACTTGACGACTATACAGAAAAAGGTCAATAAGCAAGATATTATTGAAGTTTGTACACAAGACAGACAAAATACGAAACGACGATTCAAGCTGATCGCTAATGTGACCATTTTTGCCGCCCTACTGAAAAACGTACCCATGGGATGTCCAGATTCAAAAAATCCCAAACCACTTCTGAGGAATCACCAGGTTAATTGTTTGTTTCGAGCACTTGCAGTTCATTTACATGGAACAACTAATCGTGAAACATCCACCTCCGTGATTTTTAATGCTTTTCTTGAAACATCGGGTTGTGATCCGAAACAATTATTTGGAGTTTCGATGGATAATTTACCAACAGTTGAAGATGTAGTAGAGAAAAACATCTTTATCTAAGATATCGACATTCAATATGGAGATTTTGTGGGTGAATTAGGTCGGAGAAGTATCGGTAAATACGATAATACAGTAAAACTACTTTGTTATTCGCGTAAAAAACATCGACAACTTCTCCAAACGCTTCCGATGCCCGACTTGCGATAGATTTTTCCACAAGGCAGAAAATTTCATCAAGCATCTTTTGCCAAGCAAAGATCGAATCAAAAACATTTACCCCATAACGGTGTTTTCGTGTGACAAAGATCTACAATCCCTCATTATTGACTTTGTGGCAAACTTGGATTTGTTGGCAGAAAAAAGAACAAAGCGCAAATGCGATCAAAATTTCTGGAATTTGAAAAAAAAAAATTCAAAAAGCGGCTACACTCAATTGTCAGCTACCTAATGAACGAGGTAGTTTTAATAAGAGTGAAGCAAGAGAGTACGAAGACGAATGTATCGAGAATTAGGAAGAAACAGACGCATCCACTCACTTTCTCAGGATTCAAAAAAATCAATTGATTGGTTTGATGCTACATCCAGAGAGATACACCAATACTCTACCAGTATTTGGATTCAACAGTGATCGGTATGATGTAAACCTCATTAAATCATGCCTCATTCCCTACCTTCTCAACGAAAAAGATATTGAACTTTCAGTTATCAAGTAAGCAAATGACTTTGTTTCCTTCAAATTTGGACATGTTCAGCTGCTGGACATTATGAATTTTTTGGGTGGAGCTACTACTTTAGACTATTTTCTAAAAGCTAACAAAGCAAGTGAGGTGAAAGGATTTCTTCCATACGAGTGGTTTGATACTCCCAACAAGCTTGATGAACAACAACTACCCTCGTATGATGACCTTTACAGCAAACTGAAGAATAGCAACCCTCTCGATAAAGAGTATGACATTTTTCAGAAGCTTCTCAATACTGGATTAAGTGAAGAGCAAGCCTTGAAAAATCGCGAGCTTAAAACCAAACCACCTACGGGATTGGAAAACTACAACTACCTTAAATCTATCTGTGACTAGGAAAAGATGACATCATTTCGCGATTTTATACCGCTTACCCCTGATGCTATGCAGAAAATGATTGAGTTTTATCATGACAAAAATCATCATTGCCTTGGGATTTGTGTTACGTAATATAGAAACGGGCAAATATCATTATTTCTACGCTCATGAAAATAACACACTCTTTGATAAATCTTTACTGCTTTTTACTCAAGCAGACTTGACGACTATACAGAACAAGGTCAATAAGCAAGATATTATTGAAGTTTGTACACAAGACAGACAAAATACGAAACGACGATTCAAGCTGATCGCTAATGTGACCATTTTTGCCGCCCTACTGAAAAACGTACCCATGGGATGTCCAGATTCAAAAAATCCCAAACCACTTCTGAGGAATCACCAGGTTAATTGTTTGTTTCGAGCACTTGCAGTTCATTTACATGGAACAACTAATCGTGAAACATCCACCTCCGTGATTTTTAATGCTTTTCTTGAAACATCGGGTTGTGATCCGAAACAATTTTTTGGAGTTTCGATGGATAATTTACCAAAAATTGAAGATGTAGTAGAGAAAAACATCTTTATCTAAGATATCGACATTCAAGATGGAGATTTTGTGGGTGAATTAGGTCGGGGAAGTATCGGTAAATACAATAATACAGTAAAAATTCTTTGTTATTCACGTAAAAAACATCGACAACTTCTCCAAATGCTTCCGATGCCCGACTTGCGATAGATTTTTCCACAAGGCAGAAAATTTCATCAAGCATCTTTTGCCAAGCAAAGATCGAATCAAAAACATTTACCCCATAACGGTGTTTTCGTGTGACGAAGATCTACAATCCCTCATTATTGACTTTGTGGCAAACTTGGATTTGTTGGCAGAAAAAAGAACAAAGCGCAAATGCGATCAAAATTTCTGGAATTTGAAAAAAAAAAATTCAAAAAGCGGCTACACTCAATTGTCAGCTACCTAATGAACGAGGTAGTTTTAATAAGAGTGAAGCAAGAGAGTACGAAGACGAATGTATCGAGAATTAGGAAGAAACAGACGCATCCACTCACTTTCTCAGGATTCAAAAAAATCAATTGATTGGTTTGATGCTACATCCAGAGAGATACACCAATACTCTACCAGTATTTGGATTCAACAGTGATCGGTATGATGTAAACCTCATTAAATCATGCCTCATTCCCTACCTTCTCAACGAAAAAGATATTGAACTTTCAGTTATCAAGTAAGCAAATGACTTTGTTTCCTTCAAATTTGGACATGTTCAGCTGCTGGACATTATGAATTTTTTGGGTGGAGCTACTACTTTAGACTATTTTCTAAAAGCTAACAAAGCAAGTGAGGTGAAAGGATTTCTTCCATACGAGTGGTTTGATACTCCCAACAAGCTTGATGAACAACAACTACCCTCGTATGATGACCTTTACAGCAAACTGAAGAATAGCAACCCTCTCGATAAAGAGTATGACATTTTTCAGAAGCTTCTCAATACTGGATTAAGTGAAGAGCAAGCCTTGAAAAATCGCGAGCTTAAAACCAAACCACCTACGGGATTGGAAAACTACAACTACCTTAAATCTATCTGTGACTAGGAAAAGATGACATCATTTCGCGATTTTATACCGCTTACCCCTGATGCTATGCAGAAAATGATTGAGTTTTATCATGACAAAAATCATCATTGCCTTGGGATTTGTGTTACGTAATATAGAAACGGGCAAATATCATTATTTCTACGCTCATGAAAATAACACACTCTTTGATAAATCTTTACTGCTTTTTACTCAAGCAGACTTGACGACTATACAGAACAAGGTCAATAAGCAAGATATTATTGAAGTTTGTACACAAGACAGACAAAATACGAAACGACGATTCAAGCTGATTGCTAATGTGACCATTTTTGCCGCCCTACTGAAAAACGTACCCATGGGATGTCCAGATTCAAAAAATCCCAAACCACTTCTGAGGAATCACCAGGTTAATTGTTTGTTTCGAGCACTTGCAGTTCATTTACATGGAACAACTAATCGTGAAACATCCACCTCCGTGATTTTTAATGCTTTTCTTGAAAAATCGGGTTGTGATCCGAAACAATTTTTTGGAGTTTCGATGGATGATTTACCAAAAGTTGAAGATGTAGTAGAGAAAAACATCTTTATCTAAGATATCGACATTCAATATGGAGATTTTGTGGGTGAATTAGGTCGGAGAAGTATCGGTAAATACGATAATACAGTAAAACTACTTTGTTATTCGCGTAAAAAACATCGACAACTTCTCCAAACGCTTCCGATGCCCGACTTGCGATAGATTTTTCCACAAGGCAGAAAATTTCATCAAGCATCTTTTGCCAAGCAAAGATCGAATCAAAAACATTTACCCCATAACCGTGTTTTCGTGTGACAAAGATCTACAATCCCTCATTATTGACTTTGTGGCAAACTTGGATTTGTTGGCAGAAAAAAGAACAAAGCGCAAATGCGATCAAAATTTCTGGAATTTGAAAAAAAAAATTCAAAAAGCGGCTACACTCAATTGTCAGCTACCTAATGAACGAGGTAAATTTAATAAGAGTGAAGCAAGAGAGTACGAAGACGAATGTATCGAGAATTAGGAAGAAACAGACGCATCCACTCACTTTCTCAGGATTTAAAAAAATCAATTGATTGGTTTGATGCTACATCCAGAGAGATACACCAATACTCTACCAGTATTTGGATTCAACAGTGATCGGTATGATGTAAACCTCATTAAATCATGCCTCATTCCCTACCTTTTCAACGAAAAAGATATTGAACTTTCAGTTATCAAGTAAGCAAATGACTTTGTTTCCTTCAAATTTGGACATGTTCAGCTGCTGGACATTATGAATTTTTTGGGTGGAGCTACTACTTTAGACTATTTTCTAAAAGCTAACAAAGCAAGTGAGGTGAAAGGATTTCTTCCATACGAGTGGTTTGATACTCCCAACAAGCTTGATGAACAACAACTACCCTCGTATGATGACCTTTACAGCAAACTGAAGAATAGCAACCCTCTCGATAAAGAGTATGACATTTTTCAGAAGCTTCTCAATTATGGATTAAGTGAAGAGCAAGCCTTGAAAAATCGCGAGCTTAAAACCAAACCACCTACGGGATTGGAAAACTACAACTACCTTAAATCTATCTGTGACTAGGAAAAGATGACATCATTTCGCGATTTTATACCGCTTACCCTTGATGCTATGCAGTAAATGATTGAGTTTTATCATGACAAAAATCATCATTGCCTTGGGATTTGTTTTACGTAATATAGAAACGGGCAAATATCATCATTTCTACGCTCATGAAAATAACACACTCTTTGATAAATCTTTACTGCTTTTTACTCAAGCAGACTTGACGACTATACAGAACAAGGTCAATAAGCAAGATATTATTGAAGTTTGTACACAAGACAGACAAAATACGAAACGACGATTCAAGCTGATCGCTAATGTGACCATTTTTGCCGCCCTACTGAAAAACGTACCCATGGGATGTCCAGATTCAAAAAATCCCAAACCACTTCTGAGGAATCACCAGGTTAATTGTTTGTTTCGAGCACTTGCAGTTCATTTACATGGAACAACTAATCGTGAAACATCCACCTCCGTGATTTTTAATGCTTTTCTTGAAACATCGGGTTGTGATCCGAAACAATTTTTTGGAGTTTCGATGGATAATTTACCAACAGTTGAAGATGTAGTAGAGAAAAACATCTTTATCTAAGATATCGACATTCAATATGGAGATTTTGTGGGTGAATTAGGTCGGAGAAGTATCGGTAAATACGATAATACAGTAAAACTACTTTGTTATTCGCGTAAAAAACATCGACAACTTCTCCAAACGCTTCCGATGCCCGACTTGCGATAGATTTTTCCACAAGGCAGAAAATTTCATCAAGCATCTTTTGCCAAGCAAAGATCGAATCAAAAACATTTACCCCATAACGGTGTTTTCGTGTGACAAAGATCTACAATCCCTCATTATTGACTTTGTGGCAAACTTGGATTTGTTGGCAGAAAAAAGAACAAAGCGCAAATGCAATCAAAATTTCTGGAATTTGAAAAAAAAAATCAAAAAGCGGCTACACTCAATTGTCAGCTACCTAATGAACGAGGTAGTTTTAATAAGAGTGAAGCAAGAGAGTACGAAGACGAATGTATCGAGAATTAGGAAGAAACAGACGCATCCACTCACTTTCTCAGGATTCAAAAAAATCAATTGATTGGTTTGATGCTACATCCAGAGAGATACACCAATACTCTACCAGTATTTGGATTCAACAGTGATCGGTATGATGTAAACCTCATTAAATCATGCCTCATTCCCTACCTTCTCAACGAAAAAGATATTGAACTTTCAGTTATCAAGTAAGCAAATGACTTTGTTTCCTTCAAATTTGGACATGTTCAGCTGCTGGACATTATGAATTTTTTGGGTGGAGCTTTTACTTTAGACTATTTTCTAAAAGCTAACAAAGCAAGTGAGGTGAAAGGATTTCTTCCATACGAGTGGTTTGATACTCCCAACAAGCTTGATGAACAACAACTACCCTCGTATGATGACCTTTACAGCAAACTGAAGAATAGCAACCCTCTCGATAAAGAGTATGACATTTTTCAGAAGCTTCTCAATACTGGATTAAGTGAAGAGCAAGCCTTGAAAAATCGCGAGCTTAAAACCAAACCACCTACGGGATTGGAAAACTACAACTACCTTAAATCTATCTGTGACTAGGAAAAGATGACATCATTTCGCGATTTTATACCGCTTACCCTTGATGCTATGCAGAAAATGATTGAGTTTTATCATGACAAAAATCATCATTGCCTTGGGATTTGTGTTACGTAATATAGAAACGGGCAAATATCATTATTTCTACGCTCATGAAAATAACACACTCTTTGATAAATCTTTACTGCTTTTTACTCAAGCAGACTTGACGACTATACAGAACAAGGTCAATAAGCAAGATATTATTGAAGTTTGTACACAAGACAGACAAAATACGAAACGACGATTCAAGCTGATCGCTAATGTGACCATTTTTGCCGCCCTACTGAAAAACGTACCCATGGGATGTCCAGATTCAAAAAATCCCAAACCACTTCTGAGGAATCACCAGGTTAATTGTTTGTTTCGAGCACTTGCAGTTCATTTACATGGAACAACTAATCGTGAAACATCCACCTCCGTGATTTTTAATGCTTTTCTTGAAACATCGGGTTGTGATCCGAAACAATTTTTTGGAGTTTCGATGGATAATTCACCAAAAGTTGAAGATGTAGTAGAGAAAAACATCTTTATCTAAGATATCGACATTCAAGATGGAGATTTTGTGGGTGAATTAGGTCGGAGAAGTATCGGTAAATACAATAATACAGTAAAACTTCTTTGTTATTCACGTAAAAAACATCGACAACTTCTCCAAACGCTTCCGATGCCCGACTTGCGATAGATTTTTCCACAAGGCAGAAAATTTCATCAAGCATCTTTTGCCAAGCAAAGATCGAATCAAAAACATTTACCCCATAACCGTGTTTTCGTGTGACAAAGATCTACAATCCCTCATTATTGACTTTGTGGCAAACTTGGATTTGTTGGCAGAAAAAAGAACAAAGCGCAAATGCGATCAAAATTTCTGGAATTTGAAGAAAAAAAATTCAAAAAGCGGCTACACTCAATTGTCAGCTACCTAATGAACGAGGTAGTTTTAATAAGAGTGAAGCAAGAGAGTACGAAGACGAATGTATCGAGAATTAGGAAGAAACAGACGCATCCACTCACTTTCTCAGGATTCAAAAAAATCAATTGATTGGTTTGATGCTACATCCAGAGAGATACACCAATACTCTACCAGTATTTGGATTCAACAGTGATCGGTATGATGTAAACCTCATTAAATCATGCCTCATTCCCTACCTTCTCAACGAAAAAGATATTGAACTTTCAGTTATCAAGTAAGCAAATTACTTTGTTTCCTTCAAATTTGGACATGTTCAGCTGCTGGACATTATGAATTTTTTGGGTGGAGCTACTACTTTAGACTATTTTCTAAAAGCTAACAAAGCAAGTGAGGTGAAAGGATTTCTTCCATACGAGTGGTTTGATACTCCCAACAAGCTTGATGAACAACAACTACCCTCGTATGATGACCTTTACAGCAAACTGAAGAATAGCAACCCTCTCGATAAAGAGTATGACATTTTTCAGAAGCTTCTCAATACTGGATTAAGTGAAGAGCAAGCCTTGAAAAATCGCGAGCTTAAAACCAAACCACCTACGGGATTAGAAAACTACAACTACCTTAAATCTATCTGTGACTAGGAAAAGATGACATCATTTCGCGATTTTATACCGCTTACCCTTGATGCTATGCAGTAAATGATTGAGTTTTATCATGACAAAAATCATCATTGCCTTGGGATTTGTTTTACGTAATATAGAAACGGGCAAATATCATCATTTCTACGCTCATGAAAATAACACACTCTTTGATAAATCTTTACTGCTTTTTACTCAAGCAGACTTGACGACTATACAGAACAAGGTAAATAAGCAAGATGTTATTGAAGTTTGTACACAAGACAGACAAAATACGAAACGACGATTCAAGCTGATCGCTAATGTGACCATTTTTGCCGCCCTACTGAAAAACGTACCCATGGGATGTCCAGATTCAAAAAATCCCAAACCACTTCTGAGGAATCACCAGGTTAATTGTTTTTTTCGAGCACTTGCAGTTCATTTACATGGAACAACTAATCGTGAAACATCCACCTCCGTGATTTTTAATGCTTTTCTTGAAAAATCGGGTTGTGATCCGAAACAATTTTTTGGAGTTTCGATGGATAATTTACCAAAAGTTGAAGATGTAGTAGAGAAAAACATATTTATCTACAATTTCGACATTGAAGACGGCAATTTTGTAGGAGAATTAGCTCGGAGAAGTATTGTTAAATACGAGATCACAGTGAAACTTCTATGATACAACAGTCACATTATTTACGTCAATAAAATCGACAACTTCTTCAACTGCTTCCCGATACCCAACTTGCGATATGTTTTTTCACAAAGCAGAACATTTCAAAAAAGAAACAAGGTTTATTCAAAAATGTCGCTATTTTTGACTTTGATCCAATTTGAGTGCCATCCGAAGAACTAAAACCAACCAAAACAATAACTTGGATCGGGAAGCATGAACCCATATCAGTGTCAATTTCATCGAACTTGCTTGACAAAACCATTTTTGTGTGACAAAGATTCACAATCCCTCATTATTGACTTTGTGGCAAACTTGGAAGTGTCGGCGGAGAAAAATAAAGCCTAAATGCGATCAAAGTTTCTGGAAACTGAAAATAACATCAAAAAGCGGCTACACACGATTTTCAGCATCTTTAATGAACGAGACAGTTTCAATAAGAGGGAAGTTGGAGAGTACGAAGACGAAGGTAACGAGAATTAGGAAGAAACAGACGCATCCACTCACTTTCTCAGGATTCAAAAAAATCAATTGATTGGTTTGATGCTACATCCAGAGAGA